CACAGCTAGCTTCTACATTCTCCAAAAATCCACAAACAGGACCGTCTAGGCAGTCCCGTTGTTTCAGGCTGCTCCTGCCCCACTGAATTCATCTATTCCTACCTTGACTCAGTCTTCTCTCCCCTGGTCCAATCCCTGCCCACGTACATGCGTGATTCTTCTGACGCCTTACGCCGGTTTCAAAACTTCCAGTTTGCTGGTTCCAGCCACCTCCTCTTTACCATGAGCGTGCAATCCCTTTAGACATCCATTCCCCACCAGGAGGGTCTCAGAGCTTTCCACTTCTTCCTGGAGCAAAGATCTGAACCATCCTCACTCACCACCACCCTCCTCCGCTTGGCCGAGCTCATCCTCACCCTCAACAACTTCTCTTTTAACCCCTCTCATTTTCTTCAGGTAAGAGGGGTTGCCATGGGTACCCACATGGGCCCAAGTTATGCCTGTCTCTTCATGGGGTATGTGGAACATTCCTTGTTGCAGTCCCATTCCGGCTCCCATCCACAACTCTTTCTCCAATACATCAATAATATCATTGATGATATCATCGGTGCTGCTTCCCTCTCTCGTCCGGAATTGGAAAACTTCATCAGTTTCACCTCCAATTTCCACCTTGCCCTCGCTTTCACCTGGTCTATCTCTGACTCCTCCCTTCCCTTCCTCGACATTTCTGTTTCCATTTCTGGGGATAGACTGGCCACTAATATCCACTACAAACCCACTGACTCCTACAGCTACCTGGACTATACATCTTCACACCCCACTTCCTGTAAAGACTCCATCCCATTCTCTCAGTTCCTCCGTCTCTGTCATATATGTTCAGATGAGGCCAACTTTGACAAGGGAGCCTCTGAAACGTCCACCTTCTTCCTCAACCGAGGATTCCACAGCTCCATTGTCGACAGGGCCCTCAACCAGTCTGACCCATCTCCCGCACTTTCGCCTTCACCCCTTCTCTTCCTTCCTGCAACAACAATAGGGTTCCCTTTGTCCTTACCTACCACCCACCAGCATCCACATCCAGCAGATCATTAGATGCCATTTCCACCACCTCCAGCAAGATGCCACCACCAGGCACATATTCCCCTTCCTTGTCTGCCTTCCGCAAGCACCGTGCCCTCCAGCACACCCTGGTCCACACTTCCTTCACCCCCAACATCCCCCAACAACCCTACAGCACCTTCCCCTGTAACTGGCGAGGGTGCAACACCTGCCCATTTACCTCCTCCCTCCCCAGCATCCAAGGGCTCAAACATACCTTCCAGTTGAAGCAACACTTCACCTGCACTTCCTGGAATCAAGTCTACTGCATTCGCTGCTCACAATGTGGTCTCCTCCACATTGGGGAACCGAATCGTAGACTGGGTGACTGCTTCGCAGAACATCTACATTCTGCTCACAAAAAAGACCCTGAACTACCTGTTGCCTGCTACTTTAATGCACCACCCTGCTCCCTGGCCAACATGTCTGTCTCTGGCTTGCTGCAGTGTACCAGCAAAGCTCAACGCAAGCTAGAAGAACAACACCTCATTTTCCACTTGGGGACCCTGCAGCCCTCCGGGCTCAATATCGAGTTCAATAATTTTAGGGCCTAAAATCTCCCCTGTCCCAGCCCCCTAACCCCCACATCAGGCCTTGTCACCACATAGCCTGCCATTATACACCACCTGTTATTAATCACTACTCGTCCCATTAACAACTATTCACCCTCCCAGCCTAATCGTTATCAATTCTTTGTCTGTGCAATTGCTTTTCTGTCTCGTTAGGCTCTATCCTATCATTTACTCCCGACCCCAACCCTCTCTCCTCTCTTTCTTCAGCATATAAACTGACATTTTCCCAGCCACCATCAGTTCTGAGGAAGGGTCACCGGACCTGAAATGTTAACTCTGTTTTCTTCCTTCACAGATACTGCCGAGCGTTTCCAGCAACTTTGTTTTTGTTCCTGATTTACAGCATCTGCAGTTCTTTCGGTTTTTATCTCGGAGTGAGCAGGATGTCTGACACTTCTGCTCTTATCTGTCAGCCAGGGCTCCGTGATTGGACCAGATTAACAGTTCCAACCATATTCTGTGAGGTCTACCTAGCTACCCTCGTTACAATCACTACATATACAACAAAGAATTTGCTTCTGTGAAAGAACAATCAGCTGGTCCTCCTTACTTGCCTTTTCTCCATAGCCCTGCATTTTTTTCCCCTTACATGCTTATTCAATTCCCTTTTGCAAGCTGCAGTGAAGTCTGCCTTCACCCTATCTCAGGTCATATAGATTGTAAGCACTCACGATGTAACATCAGATTTTTCTCATGTTGCCTTTGGTCTTTAGAAAGCAAATAATGCGTTGAATGACCTGCTCTCTGATAAACACCGGGACCCAATTTTTGAACCTGGAAAGAGATTCATTTGTAAGAAAGTTGCAAAATGAATTGACACAAAAGATTCTCGTATCATTCAAGGGACAGATGTGTATAGAAGTGAACCTATCTTTCTGTAGAAGAATTAGCTTGATGCGGTGAATTGCCTTCCTCCTCTGACACAAATGTGCCACAGATTCCAAATTTTGGGCCATAGGTTTGTACATTAAAATTAATAGGGTGTTCACGGTTAGCAAACTTCAGTAATGAGTAACCAGTGATTAACTTCTTAATACTATATGCTTCATCAACTTCCTAAATTCAATTTGTATTCCAGCTTGACTGAATACTAGGATTAGCTTGCCTCCGTTCCTCTCTCTTGCTTTCTCTCAGTTGCAAAACTAAACACTTACAAATTTCACAGCCAGATGGGCTGCAAAGAAAGAAAGAGAACTACACAAGATGGAGACAGAAGAAGGAGGCAGCTGCCACCTTCTGCTCAGTTCAAAACTGGGCAAGATGAAGCACAGAGCACAAAGCCACAGGCCAACACATTAATGTATCCAGGGAAAATATTTTAAATACTTCACCTGCCAATCAGACCACTCATTCAGAACTTCAAAAATAGCACTGTTGAATGCTGTCACCGTGCTGTCCTCCACAAAATCAAATAATTGAAATACTTACATTCTTTCACTCCGTGATGCAGAGATCATGTTTTGTTGTTATAACAGAAAACCAGACATTAAGTGACAATTTTATAAGTTAATAGTAGGAAGTTGACATCAGAAATGGAAAGACACTACATATAACTTTACAAAAACATGGATAAAATACTGGTACATTATTTGCTAAGTGCAGCTTGGTAAATTACACCTTAATAATGAGTATTAAAAAGCTGATTAGTTGGTTAGTCCATTTGAAAACTGGGTGAGTGGCTTTTATGCATGAGGAAGTCTCAATAATGCAATTCAATGTGCACAATTAGATTTGTTTAATGTTTTGTTACTGTCTTTATGTTGGGGGTGAGAAGGGAAGGAGGCAGTGATTAAGAAGGACATATGTTCAACAACTAATATGTGCCGAATTAACTCATTTTGGGGTGATAGACCAATGCAATGCACCTCGTGTTTCCTGGCTCGTGGGAGAAAAATGATACAACTCTTTTTTACTATCCATTTATGATGCTGAAGTGATGTTGAAAAGGATTGATGTTGGCTGTGATATCCTCCATGTGCAATCAATGTAAACTTAAAAAAAAGCCAATGGGTAAACTCCCAAATGATGGCTGATACTTATGAATCTGTAGTCCATATGTAATTAATGAATCAGAAGACAGAACAGAAGATTAGTGGGGAAAAATACCTATTTTAATATAAATACAATCTTATAAAAACAATTCACCTTTTAAGGAAACAAAATAGAAAATGCTGGAAACATTCAGCAGGTCAAATAGCCAATAGAAACATTTCAGATTGATGATCGTTTGTCAAAATCATAAAATATTGGACACATAATAAGGTCAGGTGCTGAGTGACCCTAGCAGAACCCACTCTGAGTTTCCAAGAGCAGATTACTGCTGCTTAATAGCACTGTTGATGAGTCCTTCCATTACATTTTACTAACAGTCAAGAATAAACTGATGGAATGGTAATTGGCAAGGTTAGGTTTCTCCCACATTTTGCTACAGGATATACATGGGCAATTTTCCACATTGTTGGGTAGATGCCAGTGTTGCAGCGGGACCACAACAGCTTGTTTAGGGGTGTAGCAACTTCTGGACCTCAAGTCTTCAGTACCTTTGCCAGAACGTCATCAGGGACAACAAACTTTGTGAACAGAATGGGTATGCCTGAGAATCATCTCAACCGTAATGGAGGGAAAGTCTCAATTTGAGGAGAAAGACAGATCTGTAAAATGTTAATCATCTGAAACTTTAACTGATTTTTTTCTGTATAGATATTGCCGACTAGGATAAATATTTTAAACTTTCTGTTTATACTTCCAAATTCCAGCAACCAAAGTATTTTCTATTTGCACTTATGCTGTCAAGTCTCTGGAGGGGGACTTTAGCTGTGAATACAGGCTGTTGGTTCTGGAAGGAGGACTCCTCTGTCAACTTCTGATGAGAGCTCATTGATCTATTTCTATTGCTGCAAATATTGCCTGTCCTTTTAAGTACGACCAGTATTTTCAGTTTTTATTTTTAAAATTTCCAGCATTTGAAGATTTTGCTTTAGGTCTATTTCAGCATTCATATGCAGCAGTGACAGCATGAAACTCTTAACGTGGAAGAGTAACATATCAATTTTCACTCTTGGATCGTCAAATTTTGTTCCTATTGAAAATTAATTTAAAGAAGAAACGATTTGGCAGAGTCACCAACCCCCAATTCTATCAACATCTTGCCCATTATCGCACAATTATCCAATCCCTCTAAAAACGCGCATGCCCAGTTTATCCCTCGCCACTAGGGAGCATAACACGCATGCGCAGCGAATCCAGCCTTACGCCCATTAGTTGCTTACTGCGCATGCTCCTGAAATTTTTAATTACAGTGCAATGACACGGGTCATCTTCTAACAGAAAAGCACGTTTACCCCGGTGAATATTGTAAAATGTTACTGTCAAAAATAATTTCAGTGTACACCCTACCGCGACACATACCGCCGGATTGGGGTGAGAGGTTACTTGTCCCGCATGCGCACTACTGCCTACAGTAATGGCTGCTTGCAACAGGAGGTTGCCTGGTTTTCTGCGGAGATGTTGTGGGTGTGTGATGGAGATGAATGTTGCTATTCCTGTCAGGATGTCCTTAGTGAGTGTTTGGTTTTAGTGTTTTTCCTGGCCATTTCTTATGTATGCGTAGCGCGGAATGAGTTTTGGCGGGGGAAGAGAAGCATTCCAACAAAGTCCGGTGCTCCTGATCTGTTCACTCACGTTGTTCCCACCTGTAATAGAGCCATAGAAATGATATAGCACAGAAAGGGGCCATTCGGCCCTTCTTATCCATGCCGACCCAAAGATACACAGATGCCCTTTCTAATCCCATCCTCTTGCACAAGGTCCATAGTCCTGCAATTTACAGCACTTAAGATGCAGATCTAGGTACATCTTTAAAGAGTTTAGGTTTTTGCCTCCACCACCGAATTCCAGACACACACTACCCTTTGCATTTTAAAAAAAAAGTTTTTCCTCACGACCTTTCTAATCCTGCTGCCACTTAGTTTGAATCTATGATTCGTGGTTTTGGAACTCTCTGCCAAGGGAAACGGGTTCCTCCTGTCTATTTCATCTCCATCCCTCTCAATTTTACACAATTCGATCTTGTAATTCCTCACTCTTCTGTGTTCCAAGGAAAATAAACCCAACCTCTCTAATGTCTTCTCGTAGCTACAATTCTCCAGTTGTGACAGCATTCTAGTAAATCTTCTCTGCACTCTCTCCAGAGCAATTACATTCTTTCTGTAATGCGATGACCAGAACTGGTGGTGTCATTGATGTCTTACACAGTTTTGTTATATCCCTACTTTTGTATCTAGTGTTTTTGCCAATGAAAGAGAGCATTCCAGATGCTTTTGTTTACAACCTTATTGGCCTGTTAGGACCTGTACACTTGCACACCAAGATATCTCTCTTCTTCACCTCTTAATATATTTCAGTTCATTGTGTGTTCCCTATTACTGTTTGACCTCCCTAAATGCATTACCTCACACTTATCAAAGTTGAACTCCATCTGCCACTTTCCTGTCCACTCTTTAATGTTGGCAAAATCCCGATCCTATTTTTAGTTCTTCCAACTCCTGTGTAGTAAGACCGCTGACTGAAGTCACAGTCCAGAAATTTGAGCACAAGTGCTAAGGGAGTCCCGCAGCATAGAATGTCTACTCTTGGATGAGATCTTAAATTCAGGCTCCATCTAATGTTATGTTAAAGATTCCACCCTCTATATTCTAACAATTGCAAGGGAATTTACTGCAGTCTGGTATTTGTGGTAGGAGAATGCTGGCACCCGAAACGTCAGCCTTTCTGCTCCTGTGATGCTGCTTGGCCTGCTGTGTTCATCCAGCTCTGCACCTTGTTGGCTCTGGCACCATTTCTGTTTCCCTGACTGTGTCTAAGGGTGTAAGTAGAGTTAATGTTTTGAGTCCAGTGACTTCACAACTAGAGAATCACTGGACTCAAAACATTAACTCTGCTTTCTTCCCACAGGTGCTGCCAGACCCGCTGAGTTTTGTCAGCAATTTCTGTTTTTCTTTGAGATCCCCAGCATCCACAGTTCTTTGTTTTATCATATTATCTTCTAAGGTGTATTGGTTTACAGTGGTAGAGGATCAATTACTGTTGAGTCTTAACAAGAAGAGGCTCTTATCCTAATGATACAATTCAATACATGAGCAACTGGGCGCAGGTTACATTGCCTCAGTAACAATGACCAATAAACTAAGGAAGAAACCTGTCTATATAGGTCTTTACTCCATGAGCGTCTAAGATGTTCTGTTTTATCCCCATCCAAGCTAGTATGACATCATCTGGTTAGAGTCTAATGCAATCTTTAACATTAACTCTTTGAGAATAATTATCTTTATACAGCAGTATCTGGATGAACATTGCAAAATGACTAACTAGTCTTTTCATTTGTGTTTTTTTTCTGTTTAGCTGTTTTCCTACATTGCAACATTTAAAAAAGATACAGTTCATTTGTTGTGAAGCTGTTTAGAATGCCCCAAAAAAGAGAAAAATGCTATAAGTTTAGGTTCCTCCACTCCTACCTGTGCTGAACCAGCCAGTGCAACTTCAGAACCTCGACACTGTCACCATTTTATCACACTTGCATACTACTCTTACTGTCATCTAAAAACAGTACAGTAAGACCTTGTTCTGTATCTGAAATCTACTCCAATTTCCTTTCCTCTCTAATATTTATGTGTAAAATCCTTGTTTTTTTGTAGGAATGCAGTGTAAGAAATAGGTGGTACTTTCCTGATGAACGTTAGTGATTCAGTTAGATTTTAATGATGAGAGTCCCATTGGAATTAACTCTACTTCTCCTTCCACACATGCTGCTCAACCTACTAAATTTCTCTAGCAGTTTTTGATTTCAGATTTGCAGTATTTTGCTTTTTGCTTTCAAATAGAATCTGGCAGTCATTTTGTACAGTGCCCTGGGATGAAGGCATTATCTGATGAGGAAACGTTGGTCAGGTTGGGCATATATCCATTGGAGTTTAGAAGAAGAAAGGTGATCTTCTGAATCATTAAGATCCTGAAAGGACTTGAAATGGTGGATTCTGAGAAAATATTTTCCCTTGTGGGAGACACTGGAGCTAAAAGCCTCCCATTTAAGATGCTGCAAGCAGCAAGTGGGTGGATAAATATTCCATAGTGCTGACACTGAGATATGCATCAGAATTTGTGTAAAAAGCATACAGTGGTCCTTGCATGATTTCAGGAGCTCAAAATACTCCATGTATGAGCAGAAAATGTGGATGGCAGGGAAATATAGCTGATATATTAAAATAATGAGGTGGTCAAGTAAACAATCTCTTAAAGTTTATGTTGAGTAGCCATTTTAAAGTTTGTATAGATCTGCTTGTTAAAAGTTGAGTACGAGTAAGCATTCTGTAATTGATTAAAAGGTTGTGCATGAAGCTTTTGTGCTCGGTATTATTTGCTCATAAATGTTGTTGCTATTAGAAATATTGTGTTTTGCTATAATGTCGTTTGCTGAATGCATGCGAAAGAGTAAGGTTTCCTTTTGTTAGCATAATTGAGCTCAGCATTTTCTATAAACCAAAGAACTGCAGATGTTGGAATTCAGAAACAAGAACAGAAATTGCTAGCAAAACTGAGGTTTAGCAGCATCTGTGGAGAGAGGGCAGAGTTAATGTTTCTGATCCAGTGACCCTCCTTCAGTTCTCCACGGATCTGTTTGCTGTGTTTTCCAAGCAAATTCTGTTGTTACAGTATTTTCTGTGTCCACTTCTGTTCTACTGTAAAACTAGACAACCAACTGGCATTCACTTGGACATCAGAAATAATCCCTGCCTGTTTGACACTGTAATGTAATCCTCATATTAATATCTGCAAAACATGCACCAAAATTGGGAAAGGTATTATACAGACTAGAGTAGTATGACTGTGTTAGGGTGTGCCTTGCCAAATCACTCCTTACAGCTAATGTCAAGACCTGTCCATCACCATCTGGGTACACCTTGTCCCATTGGTTGGTCAGGTAGCATCAGACAGTGATATACCATCAGATGGGGCTGGCACTGGCAGTCTTTGATTTTGGCTGTACTTCATACATCATGGCATCATGTCAAACATGGGCAAGAAAATTTTCTGATTACCATCCACTTCCCTCATTGCTGAACCCCATTTGTAAGAAGTACTTGGTTTATCAGGAATGCAATATGCTTTAGACAGGGGTATTTAGTGCTGTCTGGCAAGTAGAGCTCGTTTGCATTCCAACTGATTGATCCTAAAGCACATTAGTTGCAGGTCCAGTCTGGCAGTATTGACAAGAACCAACAAGGGATAAATCTACTTGGCTTCATCTTCAACAATATGCCCGTCGCAGATGCATTAGTTCCTGATGCGAATAGTACTGATTGCTGCATATTTTTAGAGAAGACTAACTCCCACCTTCACAATGGAGACACCCTTTGTTGTGTTGTGTGATGCTACAATCACACTGAATAGGATCAATTCTGAATAATGTAGATTGAATTGTTCAAAATTGGGAAACCGTGAGGCTCTGGTCTTCAGAACTGTATTCAATCCCAATCTGCAATTTCATAGCATGGCACATCCTCCCCTCTACTCTCACCAATTATGGATCCATCAACCTTCTATTGATAATCAGCAAAGTAATGGAAGTTGTTGTTGACAGTGTTATCACATAGCACTTATTCATCAATAACTTGCTTATGGATGCTCAGTTTGGGTCCTTGGGGATGTCTTGGCTGCAGTCCAGGTAAGAACCTCCAGCCAAGCAGAAGAGTTAAATTTCAGTGCTGACGTGAGAATTAACATCAGGCAGAATTTGACAGTGTGTGAAATTGAAGATTGCTAGTGAAACTGAAGCCAGTTGGAAATGAGGAAACTGCTCCACTGTTTGGACTCATACCTTGCATAAAGGAAAATTGTTTTGGCTTTTAGAGGTCAATCATCTCAGCACCCGAACATCTCTGCAGAAGCATCTTGTGGTAGTGTCCGAGGCCGAAATAACTTCAGCTGCTCATCAGCAAATATTGCTGTACCATAATAGAAGTGTGGATGTTCACTGATGATTGCATAGTGATCAGTACCCTTTGTAGCTCCTCCAGATAATTAATGGTTTATACGGGTGTGCAGCTAGATCTGAACAACATCCTTGCTTGGGCTTATAAGCAGCAAGTAACATTTGTGCTACGCAACTGTCAGCCAAACACCTTGACGGCAGAATCTACCAACTCTTGTTATACACTACCATTGTCACTATTTACCAACTTGTTCTGTCATTAAGGACTTATTAGTCATTTCAGACAGTCCAGTTTTTTGGCTGAGAAGATGGAAAAACGCTGCAGCAACAGCAAGGTGATGACAATCATTATGGGTTGACGTGTCACCAAAATCTGATCACCAAACTCATTAAACTTTTCTGTAGATAATGACAGCCATAAGGCCCCCACTTTAAACAAAATAACTTTTATCTCAAAAATATACTTTATTCGTAAAGTATCTTTATATACATATGTGGTCTCTAAAGTAGTTCAGTTCTGTTCAGTAGCATATGAAGAAACAAACAAACAAACATTGGAGTTTGATTCTTTA